CCCTCTGCTACTGAAGTGCCCCAGGACCTAGCCTTGGCTGCTTCTGGACTGGAAGGTGCCATCCACTTAGGAGGTCCTTTTTGTCTTCTGCTCACTATCCTTAATCAGTATTCTCAGGGAGAATTCTATGCTTCTAACCCCCAGGCCTGTCCCTCTGCAGATCTGACCAAAAAGACATCATTGCCCCACAACATGTTGCAAAGCTTAGTGCCTTGTCCTCCTCCCTACTTGAACGAAGTCTTCTACATCACTACACTACATCAGTCTTCTTCATCATCACTCACCAAGCCTGAGCTTGGTCCTTTACTGTCCCAGTGTCTTGATGCCATTCCCTGGCCCTGTGCCCATGTCCTCACCATCAAAGGGGCCAAGGTTTCCAGCCCTGAAGTTCACAGGGTGGCTGCCAAATCTTCTATCTTTGACCTGAAATAGAAATATCAAGGAATGGAGCAGGATTGGAAATGTTTGAGATCATCCCTGAGACTGGGGAGAGGAACTTCCCCATGAGGGCACACCACAGACTGAGAACTCTCTAGAGCTTCCAGCAGCTCTCAGCTGTGGGCTTCATTGGGAGCCAGTCCTGCCTCAGCTGAGCCTTGGGCAAGCCTGCCTGGCACAGGTGTGACTCTCAGCCCCAGGCATGCAGGCCTGGTGCTCCAGGACTGTGGTTCCTAGGCCATTTCCCATCACTGATAGTTTCACAAGAAGTTGAGTTTGGATCTTTAGCCTTGGGTGCATGGGTCGGGTTAAAAACCTATGCAATTTTGAATAACCCAGTAAAACGTATTTTCTGACATTATGATGGTGAATTTAGGAAGTTAAAAATAATCAAAACATTACTTAGGTTTTTGTCAGTTTTCTCTTACCTGCCTTGGAGAACAGAATGTCGAGACACCTGAATGGGGGCATGGCTTTTCATCCACGATCTGCCAATTTCTGATGGCCATTTAAGGGGGTAGTGACAGAGCTTTTAAGTTAAAACAGCACTTGAGGGGTTTCTTCCTTTGTCCTTTTCTTTTTTAATCTAAAACAGGTAAAACCTTATTAGCCAAAGCAGTAGCAAACCAAACCTCAGCCACTTTCTTGAGAGTGGTTGGCTCTGAACTTATTCAGAAGTACCTAGGCGACGGGCCCAAACTCGTTCGGGAATTGTTCCGAGTTGCGGAAGAACATGCACCATCCATCGTGTTTATTGATGAAATCGATGCCATTGGAACAAAAAGGTACACCTTTCTCTTAACTTTGTGTTGATCAGAGGTCAAAACTGTAGCTCTTCTCAGAGCACAGTGATCACCGAGTACCCACTGTATGGCCTGCACGTTGGTTTGCCACAGCTCCTGCCATCCATGGCTCTCTATGGATGCCTCAGGCTCTGCTCTCCCAGGTGCCAGCCAGCCACCACCCGGGAGCTGTGACTGCCTGGAGAGCAGTCCATGACCTTGTCCTGAGCATCTGCTCTGAGCCAGGCATCATCTGGACTTTGGGGACGCAGGCCCTGCCCTCGAGGAGCCCCAGTCGGGTTAGGGCTCAGATACCACATGTGGAGACTGAGTTAATGATAGAACCTCAGGCGCGAAAACTTCCATGATTTAAATAATGTAACGTGGTGGTTGGGAGGGTGTGCTGATTTTGTTGCTAGAATTCATTGAGGGTGTCAGAGGTTGCCAGAGCTGTTACTGATTTACCCTTCAGCAGGAGATCAGTTAGGTTTTCAAGATGAGTTAGGTTTTCACTCGTTCTCTTCTTTTTCAAAGATACGACTCAAATTCTGGTGGGGAGAGGGAAATTCAACGAACGATGTTGGAACTGTTGAACCAGTTGGATGGATTTGATTCAAGGGGTGATGTGAAGGTCATCATGGCCACAAACCGGATAGAAACCTTGGATCCAGCACTTATCAGACCAGGTCAGGTTTGCTTTAGTTCCTTCATGGAGAATTGCCGTGTTTGTGTGTCTGTAAGTGCACTTTCAGGGGATTTAAAATGATACACACTAGGAACGCCCGGGTGGCTCAGTGTGTTGAGCATCTGCCTTCAGCTCAGGCCATGATCCCAGGGTCTTGGGATGGAGCCTCACATCAGTCTCCCTGCTCAGAGGGTAGCCTGCTTCTTCCTCTGCCTGTGCCCCTGCTCATGTGATTGTTCTGACAAATGAATAAAAACTTTAAAAAAAAAAAAAAAAAAAGACTATCAAGGCAAATCCGTTATTGAAGTACAGAGTAACTTACTAAAAACTGTCCCCTGAGGGAAGCCCAGGTGGCTCAGCGGTTTAGCACCTGCCTTCAGCCTAGGGCGTGATCCTGGAGCCCCCGGCATCGAGTCCCACTCAGGCTCCCTGCATGGAGCCTGCCCCTCCCTCCCTCTCTCTCCCTCCTCTCTCTCTCTCCTGTCTCTCATGAATAAATAAAATCTTTTAAAAAAAAAAATGTCCTGAGGTTGGACGGACATGATGCAGTGGGTGCAGTGTGCCTCTCTTAATTCCAATCTTAAGTGGTGAATCTTTCCCATTATGAAAATTCTTTTTTTTTTTCTGAAGTAATTCACATGCTAAGTCAGGTTCATTTTTTTACATTCAGGTAATACCAGAGCAGCAGTGGCTAATTTGTTTTTAACACAATCTGTCCTCATCCATTACATACGCCATTCAGGAACCACTCCTTTACTTCTGCGGGTACCAGGGCAGAGAGGAGTTCTTTGAAATGGGATGAATTCAAATGTAGATAATTACAAACTACAGGAGGAGTGTTTGCTCCTCAGGATATGGCGCAGACTGCGTGAGTGAGGAGACTGGCTCAGGTTGCTCCCGGAGCCAGAGCCACACCTGGGGACCGCACAGGGCTGTGACTGGAAACGTTTTCTACCTGCAGGCCGCATTGACAGGAAGATTGAGTTCCCCCTGCCTGACGAAAAGACTAAGAAGCGCATCTTTCAGATCCACACAAGCAGGATGACGCTGGCTGATGATGTGACCCTGGACGACTTGATCATGGCTAAGGATGACCTCTCTGGTGCTGACATCAAGGTGAGGCCTGGGCTGGATACTGCTCGATGTCGTGTGCGTGGGGGGGTGGGGGGGAGGGAGGGAGGGGACGTCTCTTCCCAGAGGACCAGAATAGAGCCAGGCCTGGGCGCTGAATATGGGTCCAGCTGCTTTGCAGGTGAAGACCTGGCTGTTTGTCAGGTGTATGTGCAGGGGTTGGGTGGGGACAGCACATGTGGGGGCCTTTTCATGCCAGAGCCTGCCCTGAGCTGCATAGCGTTGGCCTCCCTAGAACTAGGTTGGTGTCTTCGTTAAAGTTCTTTTTAAAATTGTAATCATTTTAAAATTTTGCACTACCTCTATATTTTGAAAATTTGAAGTCTTCAGAAAAGTTGCAATAGCAAATACTGATACATCCATCACCTCGATTTATCAAAAGTTACCATTTTATTGCTTTATCTTTTTGTTCACAAATAACACTTTCTTTTTTGCTAAACCATTTGAAATATCCTGAAGGCCAAAACCAGATAGAAACTTCAGTGTCAGGACTGTGTTTTTGTCCTGTCATGTTGCCTGGGTCCTTGTTTTACTTTTGACAAGTGATGACTGAGAAAATAAACGTATCACCATAAATATTGTCCTGAGATTTACGTCTTTTCTCTCATGACCGTAAATGAAATGGGTGCTCTCTGGTGTAAGTGCCTCCGTGGCCCGGGAACATCGCTCCCTGCACATTGAGAACTTCCCCGCCAGGCCACCCGCTGGTTAGAACCCGAGTCTGTCCTCCCCTCAGAGCCACTTCTGATCCTCTGAGAAAATAATTACAATGTGTAAAACATTCAAAAAGATCTCCTCTTTTCCCAAATGGCTTAAGCAGTTTGTTTAGTCTGCGCGTCTCACGCCTCACTCAAAGTCGCTCTCGAGTTGTTAGAATGCAAATAAAAAGTATTTCCCTTTCTGAGCATACCATTCTTTCTTACAGGCCATCTGCACAGAGGCTGGTCTGATGGCCTTGAGAGAGCGTCGGATGAAAGTAACAAATGAAGACTTCAAGAAATCTAAAGAAAATGTTCTTTATAAAAAACAAGAGGGCACCCCCGAGGGACTGTATCTCTAGCGGACCAGAGCTGCCTTCAAGGAGATGGTTGGGCGTGTCCTGACCCCTCCAAGGGAGGAGGTGGGGGAAGCCCCCGGAGGAAACCATGTTCCAGTTGATCTTTCTTAGCAAAACCTCCCGTGTACCTTTTTGCGCGTGATGTGTAGGACACCCCCTGGGCTGCCTTCCTCTGTGGGTCACGTGCAGTGCTCTGTCCCCAATAAAGCGTGCTCCCCCTCCAGCAGTTCATCCTGTTTCTGCAGCCTCCACACTGGCGCTCAGCAGCAGCAAGCAGGTGGAGGCTCCTGGGTGAGGACTGGATGCAGACTCCACACCTCTTGCCCGGCTGACAGCAGCTCACGGGGAAGCATCTCCACTGTCTCAGCAACAAAGGCTGAGAGCGTGGCCATGGCTTTAAGGAAACAGCTTTCCGCGTTGGAAGGTCTGCAGATCAGGTGACCTCACACGGTGTCTCGGCACCCTGGGGCAGGAGCAAAGTGTGGTGCTTCTGCGGGGAACCCACGGCCGCCTGAGGGCCCCCCTGCCCTGCCATCCCTCGTGCTTCCTTCTGTTCAGGAACCTCCTTCGTCTCCAGGGCCTTCAGACCAGTGCGAACCTCCCCTTCCCCATCTACTGCCACACTTCTCTCTGTTCTAGGCACTTCCATGTGCAAGCTGGGAAGGAGGTGGGGCAGCCGAGGCAAATGGCCACTCAGGCCGCCCGTCTCCCCAGGGTCCATCCCTCTCTAGCCACACACTGGCTTTTCTGGATGGGATGCCAAAGAAATGCAACTTCAGCAATTACAGACATCATGGCTTTTAGGGTTTTTTTTTTGTTTGTTTTTTTAGAGCAGGACCTCAGAATAATTAACTGGTAGGAAACTGCTTTAAGAGCTAATAACTGCAAGGCAGGTCCTTTTCAGAAGAAAGCGGTCTGAACGTGGGTATTTACATTTCATTCCATTCACAGCCCTCAGAATCAGGGACGTGGCCCATCTCAGGCAGGGCTGGGTCTGTACTCTCCTCACGCGGCCGTCCGCTCCTCTGCAGCAGGGCCCTTCCCTTGGGCAGGGCTTGCCACACATGGGTGCACCCGAGCCCTCAGGGCTCCTGGTCACCTGTAGACTGGCAGCTGGGCTGAGGTGCACCTGCGAGGCTGCTTCCCTAACAGGCACCTAGACACTGCTGGTCTGCAGCTGGGCAGTGGCAGGAAGGGGGGCTTAGGGGTACGCTGGGTATAGGCCAGAGCACCCAAGCCTCTGCTCTGGTCCGAGGAGATGGGCAGTCTGCTCTCCTCACCAGCCTGGGGACCGGTTCTAGGGTTGAGTAACCAGAGCTTCCCTGTCATCACCACAAGGCCCAGAGACCCCGGCAGGACCACCAAGGATGCCAACCCACAGGGCACACTGGCTGGGCGGAGGAAGGGTGGGACCAACAGGCCCACCACGGGACATTCAGTATCACTGGGCATGGTTCTCACCTACACGTCCACGTGGTCACATATATAATATGCAAACAGAAGCTTCTAGGTTGTCTGCACATCCCAAAATGTGCAAGAGGTAAGACACGGATAGCCTAGGTACAAACACTAAGATCAGAAACTTCAAAGGCAGAGGTCTTGTAAGCACACTCAGGCCCATGGTCCATGTCGGCGCCCTCCTGCCTGGGCTCTAGTCCTCGAGCAGGAGCTCGAGCTCCTCCATGGGCAGGCGCACCCGGAGCTCCTTCTCTGTCATCAGGTCCAGGATCTCCTGCATCTCCTCAGGGAAAGTGCTGCACGGCGTCCAGGTACAGTACCTAGGACAAGGAGGCCTGCACTGTCCACGCGCTGTCCCCCGCCCCGTCCCCCGCCCCGTCCCCCTCGGCAGCACCACACACGGCACACGCTGCCAGGAAGACACGACTCAGGAGCGAGGCCGCCTGGTTCCCCAGTGGCCCAGGGACCCCTACGCCAGGAGCACCCAAACTCTGGGCAGATGATGGCAGCCCCAGGAGACACTGGCCCCGTGCAGGGCAAGGCTTCCCTAGCAGGTCTGGGGGTGCCGTCCCCAGTGATGCGGACGGTGGATGTGTGCAGACCTCGTGGTCTCGGGGACTCACCTTAGCCCAAGGACAACTCTGCAGGGCTTTGTAGAACACGCCTTTGCTCCTCTCTCTGTTTCCTGAGGAAACCTGAGGCAGGGGAGGAATTTGAAGGTTCACTGGAGCAGACGCTAAGGCTATGGAAACCACTCTGGGTGCCCCGCACGGACCCACAGGGGGCTCACGGCACCCAGCCAGCCCGCGGAGGGGTGGCACCGTCATGGCGGCCCCGGGCCTGAGACCCTGCGCCATTGGGTGGGAGCAGGCGGGGCCCGTGACCTCTGGGTTCACCTCCTCCCTCCCCGGGCCAGCAGGCCTTGGGTGTCACAGGAGGCTCAGGCCTTGATGCAACATGGGGACCATTTGATGAGATCTCAGAGGAATGAGACCCCGTCCCCCGTGGCTCCTCCAGGGAACCCCATCCCGGCAGAGCCGTCCCCGGGTCAGCAAGCACCTGCATTTGCTCAAGGCTTCTCCTGGCCCCCGCCTCCCCAGGTGCATTCCCACGGGGACAGCCCACTAGTGGCCACTGGCTCTACCCGCCCGGTGGCCGGCACACGGCATCGAGGACAGTGGAGGGCTGCTGGTGGCCCTCCCGGAACCAGGGACAGCACCTAGAGAGCCTGGGGCTCGGGCACTCCGGCCACCAAGGATGGCCGCCCCACCTTCCCGGTTCCTCCAGGCTGATGCCCAGAAACGGCCAGCACCTGTGAGCACAGGCTGTCACCACCCCCGGAGCTTGCTGCGGAGCCCAGGGCACCACTGTGCCCCCTCGGCCCTTTCGAGGCCGGGCCTCCCCAGTGAGTGGAGTTGTCCTTCCTTCATGCACCAAAATATCTCAGCGTGGGATCCCTGGGTGGCACAACGGTTTGGCGCCTGCCTTTGGCCCAGGGCGCGATCCTGGAGACCCGGGATCGAATCCCACATCGGGCTCCCGGTGCATGGAGCCTGCTTCTCCCTCTGCCTGTGTCTCTGCCTCTCTCTCTCTCTATCATGAATAAATAAATAAAATCTTTAAAAAAAAAAAAAAAGAGAGAGAAGAACTGCAATACTAGCCAAAACAACAACAAAAAGGTGTGGCTGACAGGTGACATGCAGAGGGAATGGCACCCTTGACAGCGCCCCCACGACGGGTTTCAAGCGCAGTTCCCAACTTAGCAGGCGGTGCTCAGTGTCTAATCCTTTCTTCTCCCAAATGCAGCTGCACTTCCTTCCATCATTTTTGCAGGGAAAAGCAAGTGAGTAAATACACTTGCGTGTGTGTAGACCTGCAAATGCGTACCCGCGCACACAGGAAGGCGCACACACACGGAAAGGCGCACATGCACACGAGACGGCGCACACACATGCACACACCACCCGCTCTCCGCCACAGGGCCGGCTCCCTCCGGTCCTCTCCTCACCAAGCCCTCTGGCCCAAGCTGGATTTCTCCACCGGGTTATCAGTGCCTCAGGAGCCAACCCAGGAGCCGCAAGAAGTCACGCACTAATTCGTCCCTGGTCCTACACTAACCTTTCCAGAAAGACAGAAATTTCTTGAGGGCCCCAGTCTTTTTTTGCCAAGTCAACAAGAATTTTTCTGTCCACAATCCAACCAAACCTGGCTCACGGGAGAGTCCTTGTAAGAACACGGTAAGTCTGTCTCTGCTCATCCCTACCGACGACGACAGAAGTTAAACTGGCAAAGGCGCCGGCCTTCCCGGTTTACATCGCAGGGTATCACGTGCTTACAAAGACTCGCGCACTCCTTCGGCCGAGCGGCCCCAGCACAGGAGCTCCCGACCGCCGCCCCCGACCAGCAACAGGCAGCAGCCACGAATGCGCCATGACAACTGCCCCAGCATCTGTGCTTCTGAAAGTTTCATTTCACACACAGGCACCAAAACATAAAATCTGAGCTTTTGGGTCTGATGAATGAATAAATGTTAAAAACACACGCTGCTGAGATGCCATGTCCTCCCGGCCACTTGGGCCTTTCAGAGCTCGGGGAGCCACGCCAACGTGGATTCTGACCTCTCCTGACCCCTACTGTACTTTCTCTGCATCTCTACACCTGAACTCGGTCATATGTCAATTGGAAAAGTTCAAATACTTTGCCTTGAGACTTTATCCGCTGGGAACGTAAGAGATAAGGAAGGTCAGTCCTGGCGTCTGCGAAGTACAACACTGATTAGGGTCACTTGGGTGTGATTCCGCAGCCTTCGGGTGAAACACGCAAGCAAGCCAGGAGACGATGTCCCTGCAAAACCATGCACTTCGGCACTGGACGTATCACAAGAAACATGACCCGTCCCAACGCCAGGTCCTTAACCAAACGCGGCCTCCACACGCACCTTCACAGAGTTAAACAGCACCTTCCCACATTCAATCACTACCGTGCTTTTAAGTGAGAGCAAAGCTGCCCTGGGGAGGCCCACTGTCCAAGCTACATCCTGGGGTGGGTCTTGACTAAAGACAGAACGGAATCGAGGCCCAGGAATTCTTAGGAACACGTGGCAGAGAATGAAGTTCCCCACCCACCGAGCGCTCTCGGGCCATCTCCAGGCTGCTGACTCGAGGACGTCAACTCCGAGACACAGGAAGCTCTGCTGCATCAAACAGCCCAGTGGTCACGCCTGTCCCTCGACCAGAGCCTCGAGGACAGATGCGACCTGCGCCCCCTTCCCAAGTCCCAGAGACACGGCGGGACGCCACCACGGCTCCCAGACGGACTAAGCAAGGCTGAGGAGGGGAGGGGGCAAGAGGGAGCCCCTGCCAGCCTTCCTGGGATGTGGCTACTGGACACCAGACGTTCTCACTGGTGAGGAAGCGGCAGGGCTCTGCGGAAAAACAAGAACATGAAACATTTTCTTACCAAGAAATTCAAATACATTCTCCACAATAAGGGGCACTGGCTGCCGCTGTCACTCCGCAAGGCATTTTCAAACAGGGCTTTGATCCGATGCGTCAGGCCGGTCTCGGGAATCGTGGTGTGGACATCTCTGCCATCCACCCTGCAAGACAAAGGCTCCCGTGACCCCGAGCCAGGTTCTCGCCCTACCCAGCACCATCAGAGGAACAGGTGCGTCAGTGACAGCAAACGTGAACTCCAGCAGGATCGCTGGGTCAGGCACGGTGCCGCCCGCAGGTCTGGGGGCGCTCAGGGTACAGACACGACATGGCCCCTCCAGGCCAGAGGAAGGCGGCGCCCAGGCTTCATGTCCCCCAGCAGAGTCAGCCCAGAACTCACGCAGCATCTCCCTGCTTCTCTGCCTCACCTTTACTCAACAGAATGCAGAGCCTACTTGATGGGAAGGAAAGTCCTTTCAGTTTAGGGAAAGTAGAGTGAGTAAAGCCCCAACAGGAGAAATTAAAAAAAAAAAAAAAAAAGAGAAAAACAAAGTGAAACACTCTTCAGAGGCAACTCTGAGTAGTCAGCAGATACCAGGTGAGCATAGCCACGGCTACCGCACTCCCGGGACTGCCGCTCAACCTGTGGTCACACACTGTCAAGAGGGACCCGGAGGACGTGATGCCGTCGCCGTCGTCCTTAGTAACGATGAGAGGCCAGCAGTGAGTTCACACCCCTCTGTGCTTAGCACTTCCCTCGCTGGCCCCTCCAGGGCTGCTCAGCTATTCTTCCCACATTACGGAAGGGAACCTACTAGACCTGATGTGACCTGCCCCGGGCCACACAGCCGAGGAGTGGAAGGTCTGAATCTGGATCGAATCCAGGGTCCTACGCTGGAGCCCAGGTCTCGCCCATTACGCTTTTGCCACAGCTCCTCAGACAGCTGCACGCCTGACCGGCAACACCCATGCATCATAAGCAATGTGCAGGAACCCAAACGGGCCATCCCTGCAGCCTAGGGAGACGGCATGGAAGCCCCTAATGAAAGCCGCTGCCACCTGCAAAGCTTGGTCCTCCCTCGTTGTGTCATCCTCGGTTACCTGGACACCCACAACAGGCGCTGACCTGTATTCCCTCCTGGGTCCCGGAGGCCTCACAGGGCAGCGGGTCTGTGGACACACAGACAAGATGTGTGTACTAACCTCTGAACACTTTCCACCAACGTCTTCCTCATCTTCTCGGCTTCAATCGCAAACAACCAAGGCTCCAAGGGCTTGGTAGACCTGGTAATGGCATCGAAGAATCTTCTGGTCTTACTGGCTGTGTGGGACTTACTCTGAATCTGCACATAGGACCTCCAAAGAACCTGGTTGCCCGGATACAACTGCAGGGCCTCCGAGAGTGCCTGCCGCAGGGGAGCCAGAGGGTAAACGCTGACCTTCATGTGGAATCGGAGCAGGCTGGTGTGCATCAGCATGACAGCCTCAAGAACGCTGCTCGGGCTCTGTGCGCTGCCTGCGTCCTCGGGGCTGGAGCCACCGGGGGAAGCGGAGCCCTTCAGTTTTGCGTACACCTGCTCGCATACCCGCACAGCAGCGTCGATCCCCACAGTCAAGTACTGGAAGAGCATGAAGCACCTCACCAGGCTAATGAGGCGGTGACAGGGCCCTGCAGGGGCGGTGGGGGCGGGACTGCAGACCCAGCTCCCCCCCAGACAGTCCTGCAGCGCGTGTTCGTATGCCTTCCGAGCTTTCAGGATGTGGACGGCCAAGACTGGCCCAGAGTAGGGCCCGTAGGGACCGCTCTCGGTCAGTCTGGTCAGCACGTGGACGGCGCGGGCCGCAGAGGCCCCCCTCGGGTCTGGCAACAGCTCCACCTCCAGCTCGGCATACAGCAGGCTGAGCTCACACACCTCCCAGTCCCTCAGCTCCCTGCTCCCTGCCGCGCTGAGTGCACTGTCAAACACCTTCCTGGCCTCCTCCGTGTTGCCCAGCAGCCACTCCAGGTGCGCATACTGCTTCCAGAGGCAGAGATTGTTGCGGTTTTCTGGCTCCTTAAGGAGATTTTTGGCTAGTTTTTTGCAGTTCTTTCCTTGTGACTTCAACCTTTTCTTGTTTTTAGTGTGAAGACACCAGATGACCTGGAAGTAAAAAGAAAAGGATTCCCAAGTGCTCTGTGATTTTTAAAGCCATCCCTTTGGACCATCAACTTCAGAAAGCCACACAGGTGTCTACACTTCCTTCCTTCGTCACGTTTGCTAAACACTGAGGCTCTCTGAGCTCGACAACAAATCTGGATTGTACCAAGGTGACCGGCGCCCCCAAACAACCCCGTCCAGGTTTCCATCCGAAACCTCGATAAACAAGGCTCATATGCTCCAAATATTCTTCTCCAGGGAAAGGTGGCCACATTTTATTGCACGCTATTTTCACAATACATGCTGTACACAACCTGCAGTTGGAGCCCCCGAACTCAGGGTGTCAGGGGTCAGTGCTAACTGGTGGCCAGCAGGAGGCAGAAGAGTCCACCCCAGAGGAATTTCTAGCAGGAAGACAGACACGAAGAGCAGGGTAAGTAAGTAGCTTATTTTATCTACTTTAATCAACCCTGAGATCCTCCAACCCCTGCCTAAGCTTGGTTCTTCACACTAACTGCTCCTACAACCCCAAACACCTGGAAACAGAAAGGCGACCACCATGAACAGCTCCAGCCACTGATGAGCTGCATACTCCCTGCTTTCCTCCCCTCTGCAGCCCCTCTGCAGGGGCAGCCACACCCTGGGACTTTGGGGATCCCTGAACAAAGTGATGCCATGGCCCAGTGCTCCGAGGAACACCAAGAGCCCTCGATTGTTCCTGAAGCCCCCATATGGGACTGGCGGGGGCCAGAGTTACCTTCGCCATCTCGTACCGTAGCCAGGAGAAGCAGAGCTGAGACCTCTCCTGGCCTGAAAACAGAGGCATCACAAGGTGAAAGATGTTGCGGATGAACTCCTCGCCCTCTCGATTGTGACCCCGGGTCCAGCGCCGGCAGCCCAGTGGGTCTGAGCGGCCCACACAGCTGACGCCAGAAAAGGAAAGGTTGAGAGAAGTCAACGGCTTTTCATCATAAAGCCCATTGTCAAAGATGCTGTTCTCATCCATGGCCAGGTAGAGGCAGGAGGCTGGGGGGCTGAGGTCAGAGGGCACGCCCAGGAACTGCAGAAAGGCTGCGACCAGCTGAAACCGAAGATCTGGGCTGGAGAGCTGGATCAGAGATGGCGAGATGTCATCGAACAGCACCTGCGACACAGACAAGGTGGAGTGACCCTCTGGGAAGCTGGGGTGGTTTACCTCGCCAAGCAACAAGGCTTCTCGACTTTCCCCAGGGCTCCTTTCACATGATGTGTGAACGATTCAACTTTATCCAATTTAAAACTTTAAACAGACAAGATCTAGGTTTCCCCGGCAAGATGCAAAAAAGCCAGAGGTTTTTTTCCTTGAAAGGCCCTGGGGAGCCAGAGGGGAGCCTGAGGGAGGCGGCAGGAGGGGGGCCAAAGAGGAGCTGGAGGGGACCTGGCACCATTCTCACACTTCCCAGAGACTCTCAGGAGGGAAGACTGTGAAGACAGGGCTTAAGCCAAAACCTTCCAAAGGAGCCTCACAGAAAATCTAGGATTATGCTCACTTCTGAAAGCACACATAATTGCTTTCATAGTTACTTGGATAAGTTACAACCCTTAAAACTCTTTATTAAGATAGAAGATAAGAATTTTATCATTTGAGGGCACCTGGGTGCCACAGGAGGCAATTAGACTCTTGATTTTGGCTCAGATCATGATTTCAAGGTCATGAGATCGAGCCCCGTATTGGGCTCCAAGCTCAGGGCAGAGTCTGCTTGGGATTCTCTCTCCCTCTCCCCTCTTCTTTCTCTAAAATAATAAATAAATCAATCTTTTTTTTTTTTTTTTAGCGGTCTAGCACTGCCTGCAGCCCAGGGTGTAATCCTGGAGATCCAGGATCGAGTCCGTCGGGCTCTCTGCCCCCACCCCTCTCTCATGAATAAAGAAATAAAATCTTAAAAAAAAAAAAAAAAAAAAAAAAAAAACAACCTTCTGGTCTCCAAACAGAATCTCTTCTATTTAACTAATGCCAAATGTCCAGAGCCACTGGCCACCAGGCATGGAGTAGCACAGACCAAGTCACTCAATGACAGCAAACAAGATAATATAAGTGAAGTGCGTGATGCACAACAGGTGCTCAGTAATGTAGGTTCCTTCCCCAGCAAGACTAGCCGTGTACGAACTGTCCCAGGATGGCCTCCCTGAATAGTTCCTCCCGTCTCCCCGGTCAAATCTATCTGCCCCATCTCTGAGGACGCACAAGCCTGGTGGGGAAAGTGCATACAGCTAAATAACCTCGGACAGGGATACCACTTAAAAAAAAAAAAAAGTTTATTTATTTATTCATGAGAAACACAGAGAGGCAGAGACACAGGTAGAGGGAGAAGCAGGCTCCATGCAGGGAACCCGATGTGGGACTTGATCCCAGGACTCCAGGATCACACCCTGAGCAGCAGGCAGACGCTAAACCACTGAGCCACCCAGGCGTCCCAAGGGATACCACGTTTTTAAAACCCTGAGTCCTCAGGCTTCCTTGAGAAAAATTCTCTGAATAAACTGGAAGACAATCTCCAGAGGGGCCTACCCTCCTCCTGGGTACAGAAACCAGCCGGTCAAGTCCCCCTGTGCTCCCACATCACCAGTGGCCGATGAAATTTCCACAGACAAGAACAGGAGTGAGCAAACATCCCCCAAGCCAGGCCGGTGCTCTGAGAGCTCAACAAACTTCCTTCAGGTAAGCACCCCATGGAAGTGGGAGAAGGTAGGGACCCCGCAGCTGCCCTCCCTCCCGGGCTGGGACACTTACCTGTCTCTCAGGGTCCTCACAGTCTTCCTCAGTTTGCTTCTTGGACTTATCAGGGCGCCATGGCCGCCAGTGCCTCTGGTCTCGGGACCGCTCGGCGGCAAGCCAGATCTGCCACTTGGGCAGGCTCTTATCTCTTATTTCCTGGTCCTCGTCTTCTGGTTCATCATCCTCATCATCTAGGCAAGAATAAACCTTTTAGCTCACCTCACCAGCAAATAAAACTGCCACTGACACCCAATCGGTCTGCTGGTCTGGAGTGGGCATCTGCAGTGCCAAGAGGAGTAAGACAGGCCTAGCATTCTGGGACATGCAGGGGTTCAAAGGCATTGAGGGACCCTCCGATCATGAATCACGTTCCCAAAAACCCCTGGCAGATCACTAATGAAATCAGATGATTTTTAATGCTATCACAGCAATTAACATGGGAACACACATATCCTAGAGCAGCACTGTCCAATAGAACCTTTTATGACAACAACGTAATAGGTATCTTATGTGTCTAATACGGCAATCAGCCACCTGTCACTCACTGGGCACCTGAAATGCAGCTGGCAGCAGAACTAAATCTTTAATTTTATTTCATCTTAATTTAATTAAAAAGGCTGCATGTGGCTAATGCCTCCCAATCCTGGACAACACAGTTCTAGAACGCTACATGACATGTTCAGAATGGAAGAAAAGTCTTGGGTCTTCAGTAAAGTTCAATATTTACAAATAAGGGGCAGCCCGGGTGGCTCAGTGGTTTAGCGCTGCCTTCAGCCCAGGGCATGATCCTAGAGACCCAGGATCGAGTCAGGCTCCCTGCATGGAGCCTTCTTCTCCCTCTGCCTGTGCCTCTGCCTCTCTCTCTCTCTCTCATGAATAAATAAAATCTTTTTAAAAAATTTACAGGCAGCCCCAGTGGCTCAGAGTTTAGCGCCACCTTCGGCCCAGGGCGTGATCCTGGAGACCTGGAATCGAGTCCCACGTCAGGCTCCCTGCATGGGGCCTGCTTCTCCCTCTGCCTGTGTCTCTGCCTCTCTCTCTCTGTGCCTCTCATGAATAAATAAATAAAATCTTAAAAAAAAAAATTTACAAATAAACAGGGTATATAAAATGGTACAGCTACCCTAGAAAACAGGAGGTCGATTTCTTATAAAATTAAATGTGCACAAAACAAAACACACTTTCTATAAGACCTGGGACCTGTATTCTTGGGTGCTGGCACCAGAAAAATGAAAACCCATGTACCCACAAACACCTGTACCCCAGCAGCATTATTCGTAACAGCCACATGCCGGGAACACTCCCAACATCCTGCAGCCAGTGAGCAGCAAAATAAACCACGGTACGTCTACACCACGAACTACTCCCCAAGATAGATGCAACAAATGACAGATGCACGCAACAATTCCCACAGATTTCAGGGGAATGACACTAAATGGAAAAAAAACAACAACTGATCATTAAGAAGTTAGAGAGAAAACAGATGTTGGTGAGGATGTGAAGAGACTGGAACCCCTGTGCAGCAATGGCGGGAACATAAAACGGTGCAGCCCTGAGGACAGTACAATGGTTTCCTCAAAGAATCAAAAAAACTACCATACGATCCAGCATTTTCACCTCTGGGTACCTGTACACTACACTCCCTGCAGCATCACTCACAACTGCCAAAAGGTGAGGCAACCTCAGCGTCCGACAACAGTTGGACGGAGACATTGCACTAAGTGAAATAAGCTAGTCACCACACAACAAAATTGTCTGCTCCCCTTCTCTGGGGTCCCTAAAATAATCAATCCATAGAGACAGCAGGTGCCACGGTGGTCCTCAGGAGCAGGGAGGGAGGGGGAGCTGCTGCGTAGTGGGTGCGGGGTTCCCACTGGGGACGTGAGTGCTGAGGAGACGGACAGATGCTAAGACACTTGTACGAGAGTGTACATGCAGTCAACGCCACGGCACTGTGGGCTCAAAAAATGTTTTTTTCAACGGTAAATTGTGTATATATTTTTATAACAATAGGAAATTGTTCTAAAAAGTCACACGCCACATAATTCCATTTATATAACATACGCGAAATAACATGACAACATAATAATAGTGACGACCTCAGAGGGGAGCATGGCAGGGATAAAGGCTACAAGGGACAGCATCGGGGAACTCTGTGCTGATGACTGGTTCTGTACGTGACCGTGGACATGGTTAAAGGAAGCTGCACATGTGATAAAGCCCATCAGTACCAAACATGCATGCACCTATGTGCTTGCCACACACTGCTGGGGCCAATATCTGGACTGTGCTTCTGCATCCTGGCACTGCCATGGGCGGGAACTGGTGGGGGACACTAAACCTCCCAGTGTACTTTTTTCCAACTTCTTGTGCATCTATAAGTATTTTAAAATAAACAAGGAACAGGGGCCTGAGTGGTTTAGTCAGTTAAGCCTCTGCCTTGGGCTCAGGTCGTGATCTCTGGGTCCTGGGATCGAGCCCCACATCGGGCTCCCTGCTCATGTGTGTGGTTCTCTCTCAAGCAAATACATAAAATCTTTAAAATGATACACTAATAAATAAAAGAACTAAGTTTAAAAAAAAAAGTACAAGGAAAATGAAATGTCTTCTGGAAAGAAACAAACCCTCCACAGGATGGAGTTGAAAGACCCTAAGGGTGAGAGACAGTCTGCTCTCCCAATGCATCCACTTAATGCATTTTTGACACTGTGATGTTTCTACAGTGTTCTCAGGGACTGCTGAAGAGCTTATACACATAAACAAATAATCATAAAGCTGTGAAAACACATTCCACAAGAAATAGGCAGAGGCATACACAACCTGCCTGAGAGGTGCCTCACCTGCACCGATGACCACCCAGCCCCCTCGCTCCTGCTGGTGCATCCATGCTCTCCAGCCTCGGGCGCTCTTCTCCCCGGCCCGGGGCTCCCCGCTGTCCCAGAAGGGCTCAAAGAAGTCCACCTGTGCAGGTTGAAAATACGAACATTATTAGATTAACAGGTACAAACCTATTGAGTCACTGAGCAAAGTATGCTCTGACTAGCAGGAGTGGGGCTCACAGGGGGTGCCTGGGGGGGCTCAGCCAGTTAAGCGTCTGCCTTCAGTTCATGGGATCAAGCCCCACATCAGGCTCCCTGCTCAGCGCGGAGTCTACTTCTCCCTCTCCCTCTGCTGCTCCCCTACTGCTTTGTATTCTACCTCTCTCTGAAATAAATTAAATCTTAAAAAAAAAAGAGAGAGAGAGAGGCTCATGGTTGAAATCTTGCTTGCCATTTGTCTTTCCAGTATATATGATACACCCTAAGACAGGAAAAATAATGACCTAGTGTGGTAGGCAGCCTCCAAGAGAGCCCCACTGTGACCGTACCCCTGCCTTGTGGCATTCACACCTGAATGTGGGCTGGACCTCGTGATGTGTAACAGAATATGGCAAAAGGTGACGGGCTGCCACTTCTGAGAGTGTGTTAGGAAAAGACTGGACATGGTCGAGAAGGGCCTCTAGCCAGGCAGGAGAGGAATGGTTTCCCAGTTCTGACCCTTGGGGACAGGGACACACCCAGTTCCCCTAAAGCCGCTGGGCCCCTTAGTACCTGAAATCATATTGCCCTCAAGACCTTCTGAGGACAAGGGGATTCAAAGTTTCAACAGGACAGAGTGGGAGCTCTGTAGGGCATGACATCTCAACTCTATGTTCCTGACGTCTACACAGTGCCCAATACAGAGTACAGATTCAACAAATGCTTATTGGCACCAAGCTCCATGTGGCAGGCATCCAGTGAATAAAAAGGTCTGCATGTTGAAGCCAGGCCCTGTGATCACACCTCTGCTCTCACACATTGGGGCATTAAGTCTGCTGTGTGCGGTGACTAGTTCAGTGCAGTATGTAATTCCCAGGATGCCCGGGTGGCTCAGTCAGTTGTCTGCCTAAGGCTCAGGTCATGATCTCGGGGGGGTGGGGGGGGGGGTCCCTGCTCAGTGGGGAGTCTGCTTCTCCCTCTCCCTCCCGTTCTCTGTGCTTATGCATGTCTCTGTCAATTAAATAAAATCCTTAAAAAAAAAAAAAGTAGTATCAGTAATATCCTATGGAGAACGTGAACACAGCAATGAACAGGAAAGCAATCGTGTTATCAGTTGACAATACGGACTTTAAAGTCCTTGCTTAAGGAAAGCTTTTGTAAGAAACCGTTAGAAGAGGACAAGGTTTTCAATGACACGCTGTGGGCTGGGAGCAACAGGAACGTCCAGCTTGAACCTGGGGAAGTGCCACGCACACCCAGAAGAGGGCTGCATCCAGGACAGCCCCAGGGGCAGGCAATGGTCCTGACACAGGCCCCGTAGCTTGGAAAGGAGAGCCAGAGACCACACTCCCTCTCCCCAGGTCTTAAGCTTCCTGGACAGAAGCACACTCAAGAAAAAGAAGTGCTGTTTTGTTTTGTTCTTTTTTTAAGTGTGATCATTATAACCTATTTATTTATTCTGTAGAAACACAGATCAGACTCTGCTTCTTTTATGCTCTACTACTGTTTCTTGTAACAATGTTTCTTGGTTTTAAAAATATGGAATGTCTGGGGATCCCTGGGTGGCGCAGCGGTTTGGCGCCTGCCTTTGGCCCAGGGCGCGATCCTGGAGACCCGGGATCGAATCCCACGTCAGGCTCCCGGTGCATGGAGCCTGCTTCTCCCTCTGCCTGTGTCTCTGCCTCTCTCTCTCTCTCTGTATGACTATCATAAATAAAATTTAAAAAAAATAAATAAATAAATAAAATAAAAAATAAAAATATGGAATGTCTTCAAAGAAAAAGCTTTATTCAAAGATGTAAATGCTTTGAAACAAGTGTTGTTAGTATGCAAAATCTCAAGAGCATGCAGCAGGCTCTGCTGACACTTTAGGGGAGCGGCTCCTGAGGCTTCATACTCACAAGCAGTGACTGTTCGTTCTAAACACAGTCTGCAGGGTCAGCAAAGGGTGGGGATGAAGGCTAAGGCTGCTCTGATCCTGACCCCACAACCACACTCCCAAGGCCCTGCAGTCAGCTAAGATTCACTTCCACAGCACAGCATATCCTTAACATAGCAAAGTATGTCTTAAAACAATTTTGTTATCTGGCTTATTATACTACTAATCAAATATATTAATGTTAACCAATACTCTTCAACCCAATTTCCTCTAGAAAAAAATATAATAATGATAAAAATAGTCTTTAAAGGCAATTCATGAAAATTCCACAAGATGGAGATCTTAGCTTCTCAAGACTAAGTTCACCATAAATTCAGATACCCTATCCATCCTCCACCCGACCCCTATCACAAAGTAGGAAACCGAGATTTCTTCCAAGGAAAAAGGGAAAAGGCGGCTTTCTTATATGGATAGCTCTGTGATGAGATTTTTTTTTATTGCTTCTACATCACAAATATGGGCCGTGTTCAATTGTCATCTAAATGATTATCACCTCCCCGGTTAGGATGGGTGTCGACAGAGTGCCAACAAGTGCTATTGTCTGAAACTCCCGCAAAGATCTTACATTGTGGAAATGCTAAGATGACCTGAGACCCAGTTTAGAATGTGGAGAGGCAGGAGATGGTAAGATGTGCTCTAAAAGGCATAACAACTGTTTCCTGGTGGGGACAATTAGCACTGAAATAAGGCCCATAAGTAAGAAAACAGGGGGACGCAGTGAGTCTTTATACTGGGGGGGAGTGGATCTTTTCTCTCTCCAATTTTCACTACCTTCATTATGGAATTGTCCTTGGATCATCAGAATATTATGAGCAACAGTTTCTTAGCAGGACTGATACAGAGGAGGATATATTTTAAAACTACTACCAGACCATCTCCCATCATCCACACCTGCCCCCAGAAGAGAAAGAGAAAGGAGGAGGGGGAGGGGAGTGGTGGAGGGAGGAGAGGGGGGTATTGGGAAGAGACAGGTCACAGAACTAGAACCCACACCTGTCCCTTGGTAGGCAGGTCTTTCACGCTGTCTGGTTTGAAGAAGGTGAAGTCCACCATGGCCTGGAACAGAGAGACCGCCTTCTCTGAGTGACCGGCCTGCCGCAGGAAGTGGCAGTGCTGAAGAAAGAGCGCTGAGAACGGGACAGCAAGAGGGAGAATACTGGTTAACATCACCAAAGGCAAAGAACACAACTTCTAGAAACGTGCACTTCAACACAAAAACATCTTTTTCTCCGAAATTAGTTACTGTGATCATTTCAAGGCTGTAAAGACGTGTGTCCTTATTACAAGGACTCACTATAGAATTGCAAAGTACCTTTATTCCAATTTTCACACAAAACCATCATGAAATACAAATATTAATAAAAACTATGTACATTACATAAAAACAAGGTAAGAGGTTGGTCAGTTATTAAACACTGAAAACTCATTATTACAAGAAAAATTCTAGGAAAAGCAAAGATTTTCATTAGAAAGCAAAGATCTGTGATCAACTGATCGCTAGATGGTAGATTCACCAGCAATTTTCACCCTCTGTTCCGAGTCCACTGTCAACAAATCAAGGTTCCCTCTCTGATGATTCTGGTTTGTCTGAACGGTGGTACAATTCCATTTACCAAGTAGCACTGCCCATTTGAGCATACCACAAAGGATATCAAATATGAGACTCTATGTTAGTGTGGTAAATGCTTTTTATTTCTAGGGCAAAACATTTACTCCTTAGAAGTTAACAGAAACATCAAGGTTTTGATCAAATATATGCCTGCCGTGCACCAGGCACCGAGCCAGACTCACGTGTCAATCTCCGTGAACGTGCTCAGTTACCGTATAAAGCAACTATTATATCATCGTTGCTGGGGGAGAAATGGGATCTCAGGCAGGTTAAGGAAATATGTGAGGTCACAGGGTCCCAAGAGAACCAGGGAAGGGCAAATCCAGGATGTAGGTCAAGTGACATCCTCCAGCTCCTGTGTCACCTGCTGCCTTCTGTACCTCATTACTGGACAAAGTTTGTATTCCGGGTTCCTTCAGGACCCCCCAGAAGTGTTCAGGAGTAATGACATTGATAGCTGCCTCTGCGCGCTGACCTGCAGCCATCAGGGCATCCCCATGAACACCACTGCTGGAGACCTGAGAGCAGGTGAGAGGGGCAGGCAGGTATCTCCATAGGGAAGGCCACTGACAGCCATAACAGCCAAGAATTAGGCTCTGTTTCCTCGGTTAATAAGCAGAAAACCTGGAACTCCTAGACCACTGAGGTTTCACTAACTTTTTTGGCTCTAATACCCATCGCTCATCCCTCCCAAGAAGTTGGACACAGAATCTGTTCTAATCCAAAGGCATCCTGATGCTTTTTGTTTAAATCTGTTTTATCAGTTCTGACGTTTCTAAAATACACCAGAAACAAATCTTCATTTTTGACTAGAGCCAAAAGAAAGGATAAGCACCCGAATATAAATGGATCTGGTCCTCAGCTTCTTACCAAACATCGCCTCTTCGGTGCCCGGCAAGGCAGGGTGCGATAAGATGCTGCCATCCTTCACCGCAGACAAGGTGCTCAGGCATTTTCCATAAAGACTGTGGATCTTTGACACGGTGAAGGTGCTAAACTGGCTCTGGCAAAATAAAAGGTACTTCTGCCAAAGGGCTGTATCATTGGGATGTAAGAATATCAGTTTTTGCCACTCTTTGACCAGGGTGGAGGGCTCCCAGAACTCCGTGCAGAGCTTCAGCTTGGCGAGCTTCAGCTCCACGCTGCTCTGGTTGCTCTCAATGGCCCGCTCCAGGATGGCCAGCTTCTTCTCCAGAACCAGCTTCAGAGACCGCTTCCGCTTCTCCTGCTCTCCCTCCTCGATGGCATACAGGCCAGGGCTTTTCATGACTTCGTCCTCAAAACAAAAACATCAATTTTCAAGTGGAAGTAAGAGAGCCTCAAAACTCCACCAGCACAACAGAGCTCCTTACAAGCCCCAATGTCTATCGCCTCCCAAAACCAATCATCATTCAGACTTTCTTGATCACCACTTATTTATCACAGCGTTTTTCGGGGTGAAAACTCCGTTCCTCAGTGTCTGTATCACCTGATACCACGGAGTGTGTATTTCACCTGATTCACCTGTCTGCGCTTGGTCGTGAGGTCATATGTAACAATAGACGGCATGCAGCTCCTGGAATACTGCTTCTCAAGAGCTGACTTTACCCATAAAACAGCCAAATGTGGAGCAAAACATAACTGTATAACACTATATAGTGGTTCAAAAAAAAAAACTAAGTAGGACGAAGACAAAGGCAAGTGTTTCAGAAAGGGAGCACAGAGCTCCCGCTGGGTCACGTGATGAGAAGGCGCATTCTGCACACTGCTTCTCCCCAGATTCTGTTCAAACGTCACCTTCTTCTAGAAGCCCTTTCTTATTCCCTAGAGGCATGTCACTCCCTCATCCCACACCGAAATTATACCCGAAAGCACTTATTCTTCACATGGCCAACTGCCTCAGTGGGCTTGCAGCGAGCTCAGGGCAGGGCCTACGGTTTAATCGTCTTCAAATGTCCCGGGCCAGGGTCCTCCCGGGGGCCCCAAACTGCTGCAGAACCCATCAGTTCTCCCCAAACAAGGACAGTCATTCCAAAGTACCAGAACTGCAACAGCGCTACTTACCTGAAAAGCAACAAACGCCATCCAGAGCTGAATGTCCCGGGGGTTCTCCCGGACTCTCCTGTTGAACTCCTCCACCTTGGCCTTGAGTAGAGCGCTCTCTCTGTCCGTCTGTGAGTCTGGCTGCTTTGTTTCTGGCTCTGAAGGACCCTGTCCTTGTAACCACTGCGTGGTGGACTGATCGTAAATCCCCAGAGGGTTCAACCAGGTTGTAACGGGAGGAACCACCTCATCCGTGCCCTTCACTGGGATAAACGAGATTGGCTCAGATGAGGGAGCTTCGTTTTTACTGCCAACGGCAACTCCATCCATGTTCATTAATACCACACTCTTCTTCATAAAATAGCGCTCAACGTGCTTGTGCGAAGGCTTCTTTTCCGTGGAAGCCCCCTCCCAGGATATACACTGCTTCTTGGGGTTAATGCCAAGGCAGGAGTCTCCTTTCCTCTTGTATCTTGTATTTGAAAAAGAAAAAAGTTACCGAGGTAGGGTGTGCGCGCTAGATCTACGGGAGTGATGGCTCAGCTCAGCAGGCCTGGGCGCTCATCATGCAAGTGAACTGCACACGTACTCAAATTCACCTTACCGTCAAACTGTTTCCATTTAGAGAAATATGATAATTAGCAAGGAACCTTTTCTGTGTTTGACTTATTCCTCTAAACACTTCTTTGCTAATGCCTCAAGAACTTAAGATCAGGTTTGTCTTCCAGATCTAGTAATTTCTATTTCCCCTAGAGTGTTGTAAAATACTGTCTCATATGTCACTGTCATGCTCACATGGAACTGACAAGGCGGGAATCCTCACCCCCTCCTTTATGCTATTCCTGAGGACACTGGAGCCTCAGGAGACAGTGAGTCATTTGTCTCCTAGACTGGTCCCTTTTCCGCAATGTGGTCCTGTGTCCCCACTTCAGAAGAAAACGGAGAGGGCTAAGATTGTATTTTTAATCCTGAAACAAGTGTGTTGAATAAAATTACATTTGGCTGTTTTCTACTCTAAAGGAAGAGAGACTGGGTTCTAAAAGGCTTGTATGGAGCGTGCAGGTGCCCCCAGAATCACAAACTCGTAACTACTGAATATGTGCATGAAGGCTAAGGGAAATCATGCACTCTTTGGTATGATTGTTAGACAAACAACCAATTTAAAAAATGGGCAAAGGATGCGGATGGAATTCACAAAAGACAACACGAAGGGTCAATCAGCATATGCAGAGGTGCTCAACAACACTAACAATGAGGGAAATGCAAATTAAAGCCACCAAGAGATATATATGCCACAACCTGCCAGAACGCAAAAATTCAATACTACAATACTGAACACCAGTGAATCATGGGCCAGGTAACTAGGATTCTCACACGCTGTTAGTGAGAAGGCAAACTGGTAGTCACTTTGGGGAAAGGCCTGGCAGTTTCTTGACAAAACTAAACTTAGACTTACCCCATGACCCAGCAATTCTATTTTAGGCATTTACCCAAGACAAAGGAAACTGCATTTCTACACAAAGATGCGTGCACAAATATTCTCAGCAGCCGTATTCCACAAAGAGTCCAGGTGTTCATCCACAGAAGAATGGATAAACGGAGGTACGGCCACACAACGGAATGTGACCAGCAGTGAGGAGCAACGAACTACTGACAAATGCCACAACGTGGCTGGATCTCAAAAACATGACACTGACTGAAGGAAGCCAGACCTAAGAGAGCATGTACTACGTGATTCCATTTGTGTGGAATGCTAGGATAGACAACACTAATTGAGGATGGAAAAAAATTAGCACACACTGCCCCTGGGGAGCTGGGATGTGGGCTGAATGGAAGAGAGCCGGGGGAAATCTGGGGAGGGGGTCACAGTTAAGTTCTGTATTTTCACAGAGGGCTGGATCATACAGGCATATGCATGTGTCAAAACTCCGCAAATGAAGATTTGTGTGTAAGTTACATTGTAGGTCAGCTGTAAGTCAAAAGAAAAAAAAAAAAAACATATCTGGAACTCCAGCAGATGACAGGCTTGCTGAAGTATGCAGTGGGCAGTATTCTGATAACTGGCACCAAAACAGTAAGACGGGTTGAAGGACGGACGAACAGCCAGACACGCGATGAGGCAGGTGCAGTAAAATATTAACGGCAGAAAAAAAAAAAAATTAATGGCAGAACGTAGAGGGTGGGAGTAAGAGGGTTCATTGTAAAATTCTTTCAGCTTATGCTGTTTTTTAGATTTTTCATGATATCATGCTGTCATCGGGGGAAAGGGCAGGACAGAGCAGCTACCACTTTCTGTCATCTTTCCAGAAAGTTCTGCCCTCACCTCCCCCCCCATGCCCCCCCCTCCAGACGCAGCACCTCTTTTGCTTCCCCAGTCAAAAGGTGCCTGAGAAGCCGCCCTTCCGGCCCGTCACACGCAAACTCTTCCTCTCCATCCCCTCACCCCAGGTCCTCCTTGGTCCATTTAGGAGTCAAAACAACTTTAATGAGGGCTGAGGAGATAAAATAGTGCTTCGAGAGCTTAAACACACCCATCGTTCTGTAAGGAACACACCGAAAGTAGGACTGGTTTTGTTCTCCCCTTAATTACTATTTTATTTTCACTAAAAATCAACAGTATTTCAACATTCGCATAATCTCTTTAAAAAAAATGTTTACAGAGTTTTCTGACTTTAGAAGTGCATTTTGTAAAACTGATTTTTAACAGCTACATTTTATAACAGATGAAAACGATAAAGGAAAGTCTTACTGATCTGTATCATTAAGTGCCTACTTTCAGATACGTGTCGATGTATTTATACGTGTTCACCCACATCTTTTGTTTTTTTTTAAGATTTTATTTATTAAAAAAAATAAAAATAAAAAAATAAAAATAAAGATTTTATTTATTTATTCATGAGAGACACAAAGAGAGAGAGGTAGAGACACAGGCAGAGGGAAAAGCAGGCTCCACGCAGGGAGCCCGATGCGGGACTTGATCCAAGGACCCCGGAATTACGCCCTGGGCCAAAGGCAGGTGCTAAACCACTGAGCCACCCAGGGATCCCCCACATACATCTTTTTAAAAACAGTTGATACAACAGCTTCGAGCTTTCCTGCCTACTTTTGTGCATTTACCCATACTATTCATTTTAGAAAATACAATTTTTATTGGTTTTGAATCAGTCCATTGGAGGGATAAGTCTAGATAACACTTCTCTATTGTTGGACATTTGGGTTTTCTCTAATTTACCACTTATCATAGAATCTTAATTGGGCAGAACCTAGGATGTAATTTAATGCAGTATTCCCCCCAATGAAGGCACTTTTCCTGTAATATCCTTATCAAATGGTCAGCTGGTCTTTCCTGAATAATTCCAGGAGGAGGGAGCCCCACTTTGGAGGTTCAGTGAATGACAGCATATGGATATTTAATTTAAATGAATTCAGCTACAGGAAAAGGGAGGGGGAAGGAGGAGGGGAAAAAAAAAAAAAAAACAAGAGGGATCGGGTATGGGAAAAGAACATATTTAACTTGAGTACATACACAAACCTGACCTGAATCCACTCAGCGGCTCTGAGCCCCCAAGTGAACTGGGCAATAATAAATGTGCCTTTCCTTCAGGGACTTCGATTCACATATGCTCTCATGGTAGCCATCTACCTGGATCCAAATTCCAACCCCATCACTTACTAGCTGACCCTGACCAAGTTATTTAAAATAAACCGCACCCTCCCCCCCGCCAAACACACACACACACACACACACACACACACACACACAAAACTTGTCTGTGCCTGTTTCCTCCTCTGTGAAATGGGTATAATGATACCCACAACACAGAATAGCAGGGACAATCAAAAAGTTTATACACTTGAAGTCCTTAGCCATATAGCAAGGACAAGATAAGTTAAAGCTATTATTATTTTATAAGACTTGACTCCTAAACATAAGCCAACTCTTTCATCTGGTATATTGCTGAAGAAACAATCTTTTCCAAGAATGGAGAAAAAAACAGAGCTGAACCTCACTGAAGCTAGTATATTAGCCCTAAAGAACTTGCCAAAGATAATTGTGACTATTACCCACGAACTCTAAGCTCTGTTTCACCATGATACACGAACACATGCCAGGTCACTGCCGGAATGCTCACACTATTAGAAAACTTGCTTTGAGGGGGATCCCTGGGTGGCTCAGCAGTTTAGTGCCTGCCTTCAGCCCAGGGCGTGATCCTGAAGTCCCGGGGTCGAGTCCCACATGGGGCTCCCTGCGTGGAGCCTGCTTCTCCCTCTGCCTGTGTCTCTGCCCTACCCCACCCCCCGTGTCTCTCATGAATAAATAAATAAAATCTTTAAAAGAAAAAGAAAACTTGCTTTGATACTGAGTCAAATCTCACTTTCTGGAACTTCCACTCACTGATCCTGGTTCTGCCTTTCCAAGTTACAAAGAACACTGTCAAACCACCTTCCAAAAGATGGTCCAGCGAAGCTGAAGAGACACAGGCCCAATACCCACAAGCCCCCATCCGGTCCTCACACAACGGTGCTAGCCGAGTCCTCTCAACGCTCCTGGTTTTTCAGCGCCCCTCACAAAGTGTGAAAATCCATGACTTGACAAAATACTCCCCCTGTCCTCGGACCAACTCAGTGCTATGGGATCAATACTTTCCTAGATCTGACACTGACAGCAGTATAGCTATGGATCCGGGAAAGACCTACCTCACCTCAGCTTTAGGAACCTACTGGGAAATCACAGCAATGCCCCAAGCCCTTCCAATGGTACCTTTCACAAGTCAGACTAATAAACGTCTCTCCTCATCTTCCTCCTGAGGTCTGGGCTGTCCATGAGCAGAGCTATAAGATCAGTCACTGTAACTATTTTTCCTCTTTTATCTATTGATAAATAATAACCCTTTATCCTTGTGAACTAACTTCTAATTCGTATTGATGATGCCTGCTATCTGTGTGTAAGGCACAGCAGGAGTTAACAAACGAAGAAACAGAGGCAGGGTTAGGGACTTATGTGGGATGACAGTATCAGCAAATGGCCAAGTGAGAATAAGAACCGGAGTCCTCTGTTTCCCAACTAGAAAACATCCTACCAACCAGACTCACTTTATTTGTGGACGGTAAAAAAAAAAAAATTTTTTAAAAAAAAATTGAGGTTAGAGAAACATAGACGCCCCAGAAAGCAGCTTCCTGGCAGCATGATCTTGAGAAGCTACTTACCCTGAGGTTCCCTTCCTTGTACATAAAAATGAGTGCTGTCCTGCTCACAGAGCAGTGGGGAGGACCAGACAGGCTAACGTAAGTGAAAGAACTAGCACGGGCTCACAATACACACTTCAGACTCCATTAGTGTTTGCTGAACCCTCCAACTTTCTTGGGTTCCATCTCATCTGTGGCACCGTACCTCACTGGCATGGGGAACCAAACAAGGCTTTCAGGAGTATTAAAATATTCAAAAACGTATGAATACATCTGAATAGTCATTTACTCTCAGCCATGAGGCTTTAGGAGAGAGCACGCAAATATAAATACGCCCTGAAAAGTAACAGATATAAACACGTCATAAAGGAATTCTTACAGGACCTGCCTACAGGGGGAGGAGTATTATCACGAGGAATGACAACGACTGAAATCTGAAGGTGCGGCAACGTAATGGAAACTGAAATTTATTTTAGAAAGTAATTAGCCTATAAAGAATGATGATAATGGTCTCTGCTTGGCTTTATATTCCAATATTCTCTACCTTCAATTTTCATTATCTTCGAGCTGTGTGGGAAGAGAGATTGTGTATTTCTGCCCTTTGTGTTCCCAACAGTGTCTTACAAATGACCCAGTGTCTAAGGGATTTAATAAGTATTTAAATACTTTTGATTGACAGATTAGAGGAAAGTTTAATAAACTAATTACTGAAGCGAATACCATCGCCTCTTTTTTGATTATCTGGTGACGTTGCCGGAAACATTTTGGAAGAAGTCATTACCACTTAATGTCACTTTCAAAATGGCTTAGTTGGGGAGAATAGATAAATAAAAGGCTTTCGTGACTTTTACAATGGCATCGAGATCAGACCAAATGGTTTCCAGATAGTTTGTCACAATTATTTCAAGGTATTTTTAGGTTATTCACTCAACAAACAGTCACTAAAAACCTTCTCTGGGATGCCTGGGTAGCTCAGCAGTTGAGCATCTGCCTTCAGCTCAGGGCGTGATCCTGGAGGACTGGGATGGAGTCCCACATCAGGCTCCCTGCATGGAGCCTGCTTCTCCCTCTGCCTGTGTCTCTGCCTCTCTCTCTCTCTCTCTGTCTCTTGTGAATAAATAAGTAAAATCTTAAAAAAATTAAAAATAAAAATAAAAATTTCTCTGCTGGCACACTTACAGGCACCCATGGAGAAATGAGACTCCTCAGACCTGGATCCTGATCTCCAGTTTGGAGCTTTCATTTCAGAGTGTGACATGAGACACAGGACTCAACAGCTCGGCAACAGAGGATGCTCACCAGGATCCACAAAGGAAGGGAGCAGATAGCAACCATGCCGTAGGGTTTAGTGAGGAGAAAGAAGTCACCTCCCACCAGCAGAAAGCAGAAGAGACATCATGACAGGTACCTTGCTATGTCTCCTCTGTAGAGAGACTTATATTCCCAGTTTGCAGGATCCGGCTTCTTATCTGTTCTGAAGGTTTCTCCTCCATTCAGAGCCTGAATGTCCTCAAGCCAAACCAAGCGATGCCCAATAGCAGCAGCAGCAGCATTATCTTCTCGACTGTGGGACACAGGAAGGAGAACAAACAGGGAGACACACTTTGAAATCTTCTAGGTACACAGCCCACCTTTTCAGAGATATTAAACATTTCAACAGTGATGCTCCACATAACACCAAATGCACTAGGGGGTGCCTGGGCGGCTCAGTCAGTTAAACACCTGCCTTCGGCCCAGGCAATGATCTTGGGGTCCTGGGATCAGAGCCCCGCACTGGGCTCCCTGCTTAGCGGGGAATCTGCTTCTCCCTCTGCATCTGCCTCTCCACCCCTAGCCCTGCTCTACTCTCTCTCAAGTGAATAAAATCTTTAAAAAGAAAAAACACACCTGAGTACATAAAATGTATACATACCACAGATGAAGGGGACTCCTGCAGTGAAAAGAGCTTTAAAATACAAAGCAAAATTTGTCAAGGCTAAGCAGCACTCCATTAAGAAAAGAGGTCACCTTATTGCAGAAATTAACATAATACAAGTATTATTTTTATTTATTTTGTTAAAAGATTTACTTATGTATGTTAGAAAGAGAGAGAGAGAGACAGCATTTGGGGAGGAGCTGAGGGGGAGAAGGGGAGCAGCAGACTCCCCCATGAGCGCGATCCTGGCTGGGAACCCTGAGATCACGACCTGAGCAGAAATTAACAGCAGGATGCTCAACCCACTGAGCCACCCAGGTGCCCCCTAGGTGTTCTTTTTAAACACTCCATTAAATGGCTGTAACTAGAATTTCAAATATATTTATAAACAAGTTTTCTTAAAAAAAAATTAATAAAGTGAGTTGCCCTTGCTTTCGCCTGACTCATTCAAAAGTGCCCAGATTGTTCCAACTCAAAACTTAACGACAACAGCACAGCCACAGTTCTGAACGGGCGGTCTCAGACAGGATTCGGGCGTGGTCTAGCCTCACTGTCACAGCGACCTCTGCTGTGAGCTGACCTCCTCCTACACAGAGGCCAGAGAGAGCCTGTGTGAGACCACACCCTGACGAATCCACCAAACCAACCTCAGCTCCAAACCAGCTAAGATACAAATGGAACCACTTCCCTAAGAGTCAAATGAGAGGGAGTGAAAGATTTTCTGGCATCTGACATCTTCCCTCCTCTAAAGAAAATCAGTTCGTGATGCTGCTGACACAAGAAACTGCCAAAGTTGTCAAAAGAGCCATTGACTGTTCCATATTTGCTTTTTGACCCCACCCAGATAGAAATAAAGATTCTAAAGGCTTTTAAATCATTCTTGGCTGAGGATACAAAGGATTGGCATTTCAAGGACACAAAGTAGCTTTCAATGAGTATTTGTTGAATGACAGCAGCTCACGTTAAAATACGTGGTGATTTTTCACATGTTCCCCTTCAGAACACCTGCGGAGGGTTTTCTGTTGACAAACTGGGAAGGGGCAACAAAGGGAAGGAATGAGAGGGAAGCATTCCATAAAGAATGTTTCCTGGGATCGTGGGGAACAGACCACCCCTGGGGAGTAAACAAGCTTCTGATCCTCCCCTAGTGGGTACTGAGGTCAGGAAGCAGGACTGGTCTAGGCTCTGCCTCTATCTGAAGGTGAAGAGCTGACCCTGGAGACAAAGGTCCATGAACGGCTGTAGCCCTAGGGTGAAGTCGTCCCTGGATCACCTAAAATAGAGTTCTATGTGATGTACTATACCCCACCCCAACCCCCGTGAACCCACTTTCCCCACATCACAGAAATGCTCTCACCACTAAAATCTTCATCCTCGTCTCTATGGAAACAACTCCTCCAGGTCATCTTCCCAGGAAGAGACCACAGAAGTTCATAGTAAGAAAGTGAAAGAGAAGAACAAGAACAGTTGATTCTGATCTTAATGGGGACATTCTGAAAGATATCAATGAACTTAAAAATGCCATCTGGCTCATGGAACTATCAGGAGGTAGTAAAGCTCACCTCTGATGTGATTAAACACAGGCTGAAAAGAACTACCTTCTAAGTTCTAACAGTAGTCCCTGCGTTCAGGAAACCCTTTAAAAGACTCATTTTCCTCAACAGTTTAAAAAAAAAAAAAAAAGGACAACTAAAAGTTTTCAGAAAAAAACAATGATCTATATATTTTGCTGTAAAGACATACTGAGAAGCAAAAATATCAGAAATTTATTCATTCACTCGCACAACAAAAAAGTACCGAGGGCCTACTACACATCAGGCCCCGTGCCAGCTGCTGAGAGGGTACCAAGCAAGATACTGTGAGTCCTGCCTACAGAAACTCAAATTCAGAACCTTTTTGCTGGACTCCTTTATTTTCCCCTCCTAGAGAAAGTATGGGTTACAGATACAGCACCTGAGACATAAAATCAATCTGATGCTCTGGGCCACACAGGCCTGCAATGCTCTCCATGGATCTAGTGGCAGAAAGATCCAGAAGGACTGCAGGGTCTGCCTGTCTGATGGGAACTCCGTAGGCCACACTCCAGACTCGCTGCAACAGAGCCCTCACTGACGCCAGCGGGACCTCTAAGCACACAATAAAAGCAAGTAACACCTGAAGAGTCAAAAAAAATCTTAATAATACTAAATTTGGGAGGCACCTGGATGGCTCAGTAGTTAAGCATCTGCCTTGGGCTCAGGTCGTGGTCCTGGGGTCCTGGGATCGAGTCCTGCATCGGGCTCCCCACAGGGAACCTGCTTCTCCCTCTGCCTATGTCTCTGCCTCTCTGTGTCTCTCATGAATAAATAAATAAAATAGAAAAGAAAGAAGAAAGAGAAAGAAAGAAAGAAAGAAAGAAAGAAAGAAAGAAAGAAAGAAAGAAAGAAAGAAAGAAAGAAAGAAAGAAAGAAAGAAAGAAAGAAAAAGGACGAGAGGAATGACGAGAGCAATGATGATCTTATATACTACATTACCCTTAACCCAAAAGTGCGCGTCCGCCTGTAGGGCTGATGTGAGGAATCGAAAGGAAGAGGAGGACTACAGAAGAGAAAGAAGACATTCTTCTTACTCTGACCCTTACTGATGGGACCGTTAACTATGTAGTAAACTGGCCCATGTTCCCACCATGTAGCACATGAGCCATCTTTCAAAATCCCAAAGACTTTTTGCCTGAATCAAATTTTGACACAATCATTACTGTGTCTAACATTTCTCAAATAAAATCACGGCCCTAATTTTTTTAACAAAAGTCTTCTTTCTTTTCTTCTTTTCTTTTCTTTTTTTTTTTTTTTTAATGTTGCTCTAATGGTAGAGCTCTATTTGGGCTTTTTCGGGACTCCATTTGACTGAGTGGCTAAACAGTCATTCCAATGTCTAATTTGTGGCAACAATTGAGGGAAAAAATTCAAAATGTGAAAAGTCACAGATATGTGAGAATAGAAAACCTACCTTGGTTTCTCTGATTCCTTTTTACTATCTCCAATGCTTCTGGAATTTTTGTCCTTATCAGGCTCACTATCTGGCTCAGATCCACTGCTACTGGTCTGCCCATGTTTTCTCTTGATTTTCTTGTGGTGATGCTTCCTCTTCTTCTTTTTCTCTTTCTTCTTTTTTCTGCTTGTTTGTTTGGGCTTTTTGTTACTGTCACTTTCATCTGAGGGTTCTGATTTCAGAGGACTCCTGCTTGGGAAAATCACCCATTAGAATTTTTTCCAGAAGAGAATCAGGGAGAAGACTATGTAAATAAGCAGACAACTATGTAAAAAGGGAACTCCAGGAATGCCCAGAGGGGCTTACTATTCGCCCATGTATCTATACAGTGCCTTCCTGGATCACAACTCCCCTTAAGGATTTAAGAGCTGGACCTCCCCACCCCACCACCCACCCACCCAGAAAAAGGAACTGGACCTAAAACAACAGTAGGTGAAGAAAGTCTAGGTTTTAACAACTTCCTAACCTAGACTTTCACATCTGTCTATTTTTAAATGAAAATAATCTGCCAGTTATTTTACCAAATAAAGTATTCACTGAAGCAATGTTATCAAGGGTTTATTTTCACTCCTCCATATTAAGGCAGCATGTCCTTAATGCCAAAAATTTTAAAAAGGTTTAATTCTGGTCCAGATTTTTAAAGGTTATAATAAGCCCTTCTGCATCACTGACATAACCCTCTCTCAGGCATCGGCTGGTGTCAATTTCCAAAGGCTTCTCGTATTTTCAGAGTACTGACTTCTTGGGGCTCATCACCTTAATGAGACCACCTATATTTTCTAGAGGGCTCACGTCTCAATTTGATGCTCTACCACAATTTCTTTCAAAGCTCGATACAGATCTCTGTGTGCCATTCTGCTTTCCCCAAAGTTTTCATGAGATTTCATCCAATGTTTTATCACACCAGCTTCTTCTATTTTTCCAAAAATGGTTAAAAACACAACTGAGGAAACACTGGACTACAGTATTCTGAAGGTTACTAATAAGGTCACATTATACAACCATCACAATGGTGCATGCCATTTCCCTCGTGGCCTCATTATGGCATTGACTGTGTCCTGCACTTGCCACCACAATGCAAACGGAGGAAAAGAGGAATAATCCATGAATGAAGTAAAAGAAAACAGTCAAAGGGCACCTCGTTAGTTCAAGCAAAAAGATTGGTAATTTGCTCTTCTATCACAGGGTTTTTTCTAATCTAAGGAGCATTATTCAAACCAAGTTATAGGCAGTACATGGACAAAAACAAAAAATCCATCTTTCAAAAAAACTACCTGGTCAGTGGGGACCCTTCAGAAACCAGGGCGGTGACCTCTTCAGGTTGTTGGCTCAGAGAGGTTATGGCTCCAACACAAAAGCTCGGGTTGCTCAGCCAGTCTAATTCTGCACAAACAAAAGTGGGGAAAAAAGATCAATGAAATTAGCTCCACGTGATTTCTAAAGCAGGAAATCCATCTTACCAGCTGACATCCTAATTCACAGCCAGCGTCAGCCAGACGGTCTGCAGAAGCCACAGGGAATCCATGAAATTTTTATTTCACAGGGCATGGGGCTTTAACACACACTAAAATACTTAAGACTGAAATCCTCTTGTGCTATCAGGCTGCAGCTTAAGCAAAAGCCATGCAACAAGTGTGGCTTAAAAAGCAACAAGGTTTTATGGATTCCATCCACACTCTACGGAGCAAAAATGTTTCCAAAGCACTAGGACTTAATGACCTCAAATCTGATGCAGACAATTCCGAAAAGCTCAAAAATCAAATCATGCACAAAAGCCTGACATGCTTAATGCTGTTACAGGAGATTAAGGTATTTTTCTTCAAAAAATATTCTGTCCTCAGTAACTTAACATAAGCCTTTCCTTACTACTCCTCTTTGAAAACAAAAACACGGGTGTCAACTTTGCTAATGCTAACATTATATAAAATATTAATGATGATTATTTCTGGGTGGTGAGTTGAATGTCCCTAATTTTTCCTTTCTGCTTATCCACTAATTTCTAACTCCTCTGGAATGGATTCTTTCCAAGTCACTTAATTTCTAACCCTTCAGGAGTCTTAACTGAAAGAAAGGAAAAAATCAAGGGATGGTGTAGCAAGGGGGCCCCAAGAAGGGTTTGGATTTTGTCCTGTTGTGTTCTAGGATGAGGCCAGAGCACTGGTGCGTGACATGAAGTTAGGAGACAAAAGGGTAAGTGCACTTGACAGTCATACTGGGACATAATCTAGATATTGTAAGGTTCACCTATTTAAAATGTGTAAATAAATAAATAAATAAATAAATAAATAAATAAATAAATAAATAAATAAAAAACAAAATGTGCAAGCAATGGCTCTTAGTATATTTAGAATTGTGCAGAGCACCTGACTGGCTCAGTTGGTGGAGCATGTGACTCTTGATTTCAGAGTCATGAGTTCAAGCCCCATGTTGGACACAGAATTTACTTCAAAACAAAACAAAGCAAAAAAAAATCAGAATTGTGCAACTATCACTATGAAGTAATTTGAGCATTTCCATAATCCCAAAAAGAAACCTCATGCCTATTAGCAGTTACCATCACTCATCTCCAGCTCTCCCACCCCCAGGCAACCACTAATCTGTCTCTACAGATTTTCCAGTTTGGAACATTGACTATAAATGAGATCCTATGGGGCGCCTAAGTGACTCAGTTGGTTAAGCATCTGCCTTGAGCTCAGGTCATCATCCCGGGGTCCTGGGACAGAGACCCGTATTGGACTCCCTGCTCAGCAGGGAGCTCGCTTGTCCCTCTCCCTCTGCCCCTGCTCTATCAAATAAAGCAAATCTTTTAAAAATAAATAAATAATAAATAAAGGAGATCACACAATACACAGTCTTTTGTAACTGGCTTCTTCTACTTGGCATAATGTTTTCAAGGTTCATCCATGCTGTAGAATGTATCCATGCTCCATTACTTTTTACTGCCAAATAATATTCCATTTTATGGATAGACCACATTTTATCCATTTATTGGCTGATGGACACTTGGTTATAATGAACAATACTGCCATGAACACTCATGTACAAGTTTTTATACGGACATATGTTTTCATTTCTCTCGGCTAGACATCCAGGAGAAACACTGGGTCATGTGGTAACTCATGTTGAGCATTTTAAGGAAATACCAGACTGTTTTCCAAACTGGCTGCACCACTTTACATTCCCAGGAACAGTGTGTAAGGATTCTGATTTCTCCAAATCCTTGGCAACTTGTCTCTGTGGTTTAGGTTTTACAGTCATCCTAGTGTGTGTGATGTCTCTTCTCATTGTGCTTTTGGTTTTCATTTCCCTGGTAACTAATGATGCAATGCATCATTTCATGTGTTTATTGGCCACTCAAATCGGAAGAATAGTCAAATCTTTTGCCCTTTTTTAAAATGAGTTGTCTTTTTAGTATTGGGCTGGAACAGTGTTCATATGTTGTCTTCTAGTCCCTGATGATTATTGCATCTCAGTGAGGAGGAGATACTAGAATATGTCATCTGTGATGACACGTATACTTTGTTTTACTCACTGTTGTATCTGTGGCACCATGAACAATGTCTAGCATACGTCAGGAGGACTTTAATAAATATTTGTGGCAAAGAGCAAAAGGAAGGAAAGTCCTAAAGAGGAATGTTACATTAAGAGGGAGAAGTGGGATCCCTGGGTGGTACAGTGGTTTGGCGCCTGCCTTTGGCCCAGGGCGCGATCCTGGAGACCCGGGATCGAGTCCCACATCGGGCTCCCAGTGCATGGAGCCTGCTTCTCCCTCTGCCTGTGTCTCTGCCTCTCTCTCTCTGTGTGTGTGACTATCATAAATAAATAAATAAATAGATAGATAGATAGATAGATAGATAGATAGATAGATAGATAGATAAATAAATAAATAAATAAATAAATAAATAAATAAATAAATAAATAAATAAGAGGGAGAAGTGCCTGGTGGGCTCAGTCGGTTGAGTATCTGACTCTTCATTTCTGCTCAGGTCATAATCTCAGGGTCATAGGATGGAGCCCTGATTGGGGCTCCCCAATCAGCAGGGAGTCTGCTTGAGGTTCTCTCTCCCTCTGCCCACCCCCTGCTCGTGAACACATGCTCACTCTCTAAATAAATAAATAAAACCTTTTAAAGGGGGGAGGGAGAGATTCTAACCCATTAAGTGCCTACTGTAGGCCAAACACCAGGTAAAGCCCTTTTTATATCCTTACTCCTGTTAAGCATCATAACAACCCTCTCTGGGAGGTACTATGATCTCCACCACATAAAAGAGAAGACTAAGGCTCAGAGGAACTAAGTCACTTGTAAGGCCACACCCCGTGAGTGCGAAGCAACTGTTGGGGCAATCTTTCTTCTATTGTCTCCTTTTCCTTCTGAGGTTGGTTCTCTTCCCTTGGGTTGAATTCGTGGCAAGAGGTATGTGAAAATGGTTCCTGTTGCTCCCTGAGATCATGACTATTTCCACAATAATTGGATTTTCTCATAAACAAAGGAAAGGTGAGAAAAAAATGGAAAAACAATATGTATGGAAAGATGCCCTCAATTTCAAGAGATTTCTCCAAAAATATTCTAGGTAGTGAAGACAGCTTGGAGGAGATGTAAAACAACAAAAAACAGCTGTTAAAACAACAAAAAGGGGGCATCTGGGTGGCAGAGTGGCTGGGCATCTGCCTTGGGCTCAGGGCGTGATCCTAGGGTCCTGGGATCGAGACCCCCATCAGGCTCCCAGCAGGGAGTCTGCTTCTCCCTCTGCCTGTGTCTCTGCCTCTCTCTGTCTCTCTCATGAATAAATAAATAAAATCTTAAAAAAAAAAAAACCAAAAGCATAAAGTGTGCAACTCTCCAGAGTCCTCCAGAAAGTATAAGAAAAAGGGCTTTTAAGGGAGCAATTAAGGCTTTGCCATGTGAGACCACTGTGGGAAAAGAGTAGTGTATACAGAACTAAAACTCCTGGGGTTCTAGCCCAAATCAGCACTGACCACCTCTGTGAACTTCATCTCAATCAAATGACCTTTTGTCAGAGCAAAGGGTATTTCCACCTGACAAGAAGTTACAGCAGCTGCTTTTTTTTTTCTTTCCTGGTAGCACAAGAGCAGTGAACAAGGAACATTAGAAGTAATCATTATTGGATGTTAGTCATGTCAGAATTTTGAAAGTTCTAGTCTAGAGAAAACACTGTTTAAACAAAATCAGAGAAGTCTGGCAATCAGAACAGCCCAAGTAGTGATGTTCCTGGGGGCCAAAGGGAGGGGGTGGCTCTGAGAAGGCTCCCTGAAGGAGCTCGGCTAGGGTACCACTGCCTCATTTACAGATCAACAGCGGGAGGCCAAAAGAAATTCAGTCACAAGGACACGGTACACACCTGCACCCCGATCGGTGCTCCCCACCACACCATGGTGCTACTCTTCACTCCTTAAACTAAGGAGCTGGTTTTCCGGAAGTGTCTCTGCAACATGGGGCTATTGTGGCAATTCTCACATTATAAACTCATTATTTGCATGGCACTCTTCCTACTTTATTCCAAGGCAAAGGTCAACAACTCAAATCCTTACCAGGACCAGATTAGTAATGATTACTAGGAAGTGAGAATGAAAAAAAGAAAAAGACAAAAATATTTTACCAGCCAAACAAATACAGTAAATTAGTTTACAATTCTTTTTTTTTTTTTAAGATTTTATTTATTTATTCATGATAGTCACACAGAGAGAGACAGAGAGGCAGAGACACAGGCAGAGGGAGAAGCAGGCTCCATGCAGGGAGCCTGACGTGGGACTCAACCCCGGGTCTCCAGGATCGCGCCCCGGGGCCAAAGGCAGGCGCCAAACCGCTGCGCCACCCAGGGATCCCTAGTTTACAATTCTTGCACCCTATGAGCTCCTCCTATGCCTTTCTTTCTAAACTAAATGCTACATAAAGGCAGAGGTCACGACTACTCACTCCTTGTATTCCTAGTACAGTGCCTTGGCACAAAACTGAAATATAAATATTTGCTGAATAAATACAATGAATGAGGATCTGAGCCATATCTTCGTATCTTTTATTCCTAGCATCTAATTTACTGAACTAAAGGAACCTGACACCATCAAAAGCATGCTATTTATCTAGGTATAAAGTACAACTATTTTGATTCTTCCAGTCTTTGCTGTAAATGGAAATTGAATCATTAAAGAGTAAAATATGGAACACCTAGTACATGCCCAGGCAGGTCCCCACACTGGGGATACAGTGTGAGTAAGGCAGGCCAGGTCTCTGTTCATATGGTATTTATACTTAATCACAAGCCTAACTATTCATGTAATACATGTAGATTGTTAAATTCTGGTTACGTGGAATCCTCAGAGGAACTCAGAGGAAGTTATCTGAGATTAAGAGATACTTTATTAAT